TTTCTTCTTCTTCATTTGCTGGTTTTTTCCTCTGGTTTTCCATAAGCTTTATTCTCAATTTCTTTCTCTTGCTTTGGGAAAAGCAGAAAAATTATATATGTGTCTCTCGATGAGCCAAATTCTGTCATGAATCACATATTAGATTTGCAAAGTCACTCAAACCGAGACTTGAACATTGTATTTGCAATGGAATCTAAGACATTTCGTCCTATTAGAATGAATCAGCCGTTTTAATGCTGTGTAATTGCACATGCTGCTTTTGGAAAAGGTTGAAGGATTTCATGAGTACATACAAACCCACACATACACACACGCACGGATGTGTATCCGATTAAAAATAATGAAAGTTGCCATAAATTTCATTTCGACGATCATTCCGTACGTTTATTCTTTTATGAATAAAATTACGGTAAATTATTCAATTGTATTATTACGAATCAACTGTACAGATCTATTTGGAGGCACTTTAAAATGTAAGCATGAAATGAACGCTGGTGTCGTTAAAATGTTGCTGCGAGAAATGGATTCCAATCTATTTAAGTTTTGCCAAATTGAGATGTACGACGAATTTTCGGGAACTATTAAGCGCAATGTGCATATATGATCATCGTAAACACACCCGCAGCCGGGATAAAATGTGTAATGAAGTGAATTCATTTCGCTTAGTTTAGAAGCATCAAATCAATTTTAATACGAAACCAAGTATGTACTAAGTTTCAACTATATTTTCAATGATGTTGCTAGTGTTGCTGCTCACAATGATGCCAGTGTCATCGTTCCAAGACAGAGAACAATGTTGCAGCTGTCGTTTTAATTGAAACGCAAGTGCCATCCACGAAGACAACGAAAGCGTCAACAATTTTACCGTTTTTATTGAAAAACCAAAATTTTAGTATTGGTTGGATCATGAAGCGGTTCGAATCTAAGCGGTTAGATTGAATTTTCAAGCACCTCACTAAACATAATCGATATTTGCTTTTGGAGTGAAGTCAACTAAATAGATTCGGTTTTCATAGAAAACAATTAGTAAGTTTATATATAAGTTTATATATAAGGATTTTTATGTTTTCGTTTTTATGAACTTTTCATCTTATTCAGCGAATCCAATTTCACATATTGACAGCAGAGACGGCGGCGGCGACGATGCCGACGGCAGCAGTGGTAGTGGTGGCGACAGCAATGGTGCTTCAATGAAGAGAATTATGTTCGATCACATCGCTTGGCATTATAACAACCGATAAAACAGTTGAGAAAACACACACACACACACTCGAAACGGACGTAAATAAAAGGAAAGCACTCAACACAGCAAATCTTTAATTTAACTTAAGCGATGAATGCTGTGTAAGTCACCAGATGCTATTTTCAGTCATTTATCTAAGTTTACCCATTCACTTATAAGCGAATATATAAACATGTTGTGTGTGCGTGGCTTTTTTTCCCTCTCTATCTCATCTCCTTTTTTTCACTCCATCTCTCGTTTCTTCATCCATGGCTGTTTTCTTATTATCTATTATTTCTGGATTTTTCCTGCGTCGCTATTGTTTTCCACTTGCACCCACTTGCATGTGAGGCTAAAAAGGAAATAATAGTCGGTTGGCTGTTGAATGGTGATCGTTCTTCTTCTCTACATGGCTTCGGGCCATGTTTCGGTGCGTTTAAATTTTTCCTCGTTTTTGTTCTTTGTCATCGTTTTTTTTTACTGCTCGCTCTCTCTCTCACACTCTCTGTATCTCAACGTTGTTCGCCATAAAATTATAGTGAAAAGACCAAAGATTGAAAATGTAAAACAAAGAGAGATACAGAGAAAGATGGTGGGGGTAGCGAGAGTGAGCAGAATAAAATGTGCATGAGATATTTAACGCTTACAGCCTCTTCACATTCAGATAAGACCCATTCTATACACATTTTTTTTGTGTGCTTCTCTATCTCTGTGTGTACGGTTGTATTTTTATGTGTGTGAGTGCGCCCTGTGCATTCTATTTTTATTTGCTGATTGAAGTTTATTTTTCCTTCAGTTCTCTCTATGTCGCTGTGTGGTTTCATTCGTTCATCGACATGCACAATTTTCCATTCCTTTGCTGCCTTCAGTTGTCGAACTGCCATATATGTGGGGTATGTACGCGCGCTCAATTGTGTATGTGCTTATTTTCATATCGACCACTCATTCACTTTACACGCTGCATATTTACCATGTCATTTACCACATATTTATAATGTAAATACATAACATATTTGGCACAAAGGCACAACACACAAGACGAATGGAATTGTTCACAAAAGGCACACATAGCTAAGAGCAACAAGCCGTGTAATGTAGTTCGTGTGACAACAATTTTAAAAGTTCCTTTTGCCATATGAACAAGTAAAGAGAAAGCGACATTTCTCTTTTCGCTGTGCACATGACTTTTTTTGCTCTCGTGTTCATTCGTTTGTTCGTTCGTTTCGTTTCTTTTCTTTCACTTCCTTTTTTTTCAATCTCCCTCTCTCTCTCTCTCTGTGATTCGCCTTTTTCCCGCTTTACATTTGTATTATTCGCATGCCATTTATCGCATAAAATATTCAAGTTTAACATTTCCCATTCGGTTTAAGGCTTGTTATTTTTACGTTTTCACTTTTGTCGTTGTTTGTTTGACGGCTGTAAAGCTATGCTGCATACACAAGCGCGTACTCACACGAAAAAAAAATGCCTACTACATACGGCGACAACGAGCAGTACGAATTTTTTTTTATCAATTATATTTAGTGCGTTGGAATTTGTATAAAAAGCAATTGAAATTGCTCGAGCTGCGGTGGATTGGCTGACTGGCTGGCTGGTTCACTTTGTGTGTGTGGGTGTGTGTGTATGCGCGCGTGAGTGTCTCTGTGTGAAGAGAAGAATATTTATCCGTCTCACGCAAACAACGTACAAATTGAAAAATATGTATTATTAATGACAGCAAATGGATTTAATAGGGCGTAATGTGTTGTATTTAACTGCACACAGATCACACATACATCCACATGCCACGCTCAATTGTATGCGTTTTCTCTAAGCTAATTAAGCACGAATTCATGTGAGCACATCGTTTTTCGCGACAAATACAAATGAACGCAGCGCGTTCAACGTACACAGTTCGTATGAATTGGGCATGTTTGTACTCGACATCACATAGTAATTTAATTCTCTAATGAAATCGCAAATAAACGATTGAATGAATGGGCCGAATGAATTGCAAAAAAAGGGAAACTAAAGAAAAGATTTTCCATGACTATTTTTCATTTTTCTGGTAATGTTCACTTTTTATGTACATTCTCAGTCTCTCCATAATGATGAGCATTAAGCATTTTTTCGTTTATAAATAATAAACATTTTCAATGACTGAAGGCACGTAAGGAAAAAAAGTGTATTTGCATATTTGTAAGTTCCTACTGTGCTGGCTGAGCGAGAGAGAGAGAGAGAGAAAGAGAGAGAGAGAGAGAGAGCGGGAAGCGAGTGTGAAAAAGGGAGAAAAGAAGGAGACGGCGGCATCGCAAAGCGAATTCGTTGTTTGCGTTCTGCATGAAAGGATGGCGAGCACACAGTCACTAATTATTATAAATTAAGCTTTGAGCTTGCAGCTATTGTATCCTATTCCGACTGTGCGTTGCTGTGCCATACTCATTTTGTCAAGCAAAAATGTCGAATAGAAGACCCATACATTTCGACAAATGTGATTTCGAGTGTCGGTTGTTGACTTTATGTCATTATTATAAATAGAAAATGTCGTTGTTCATAATCGTTGTGTATGGTGAAGGAGCGAGAGAGAGAGAGAGAGAAAGAGCGATAGAGATAGAGAGAATGTGAACCGGAGAGGAAGATAGAATGTTGCAATAAGCTTGGAGCAAGCGAGCGTGTGTGTGATGTCGTCGTACTTTATCTATGCGACGAAAGATATCTACCGTTCTCAAATTTTCGTCACCCACGATGTGGCTTGGATACGCTTCGCAACATAATTTAAAACACACAATTTTCATTTTGTGACGCCGTATCGCTGTGAAACATTAATAATAATATTTGTCAACACACCATTTATATTCTTATCGAATTACTTCTTGCCGGGAATTTAATTCTCATAGAAGGATTCAGTTACAACTTACAAGACATCAACCACCCTCTACCCTTTACCCGCCCAACTCAATATGGAGGCCAGGCTTTGTGCCTATGCATTTGCATTGCATTCGCTAAGATGAGGCGAACATTCCAAGTGATTTTATTTAAGTGACAAAAAGAGAACTGAATTGTGTTTGTGTGCGCATGTATACGATAGCGGTGCGGCCCTTCCACACATGAAACACTACAAGAAGAAATGGCAATTTGAAGCCACATACACATTCTATCACGCAAATGCGTTTGCTACTAATGACATATCTTATGGTTACATGGGACTGATAGCCCATAAAATACGATACTTATTTTCTTTGGGGACATTGGGAGAAAATTCCAATAAAAGGCGCAGCTTGTGTTGCCATCAACTCGAATAAACGGTTTCACACGCTGATCATGATGAATATGTATAGCGGAGCGAGCGCATACAGTTTTCATTTGGAGCTTTTTCTTTTTCTTGACATTTTAAACAGACACTATACGAACACTATAGTATATTTTTAAAGCATCCCCAACCAAAACATAAAACTTTCAAGATAGTTGATTGGTATAATTTTGATTTTTTACATCTTTAATTAAGTCGGTTTCGATGAAAAGCTGACATGTGCTTCGGTGTGTAAAAGTCTCTAACACTGAAATACTACACAAAAACTCACTCGACTCCTTTCGTAATTTATGTAGCCGAATTGAAATTGGAAGCAATGCGCGCCGCGCACACACTCGGCAAACAAAACGAATATAGCAAAGAGTAAAAACTAAATGTGTGTTTGCTGTGTGTATGCATAAGCGTATCCGTTCACGGATAAAATGAAATAGATAGATAGAATAAGTAGATGAAGAGCGGAATTCCAATAATGTATGTTTATTGTTTTACCTTTACTGGCACCGTCCGGTCCTCGTAGAATTGTACACTCTTCAATTGTTCCGAATGGTGTGAATAGCTGCTTTACATCCTCTTCCGTTTGTTGCTTGCTTAGCATACCAACAAAAAGTTTTCGATCTGTTTCGATAATTTTCCATTTTTGCCCGAAATGTTGTTGAGTAAGTAAAAGAGTGAAACGATGTGCGATGTCGAGAGGGAGATTTTATGTGTGCGTAGTATGATAGAATGGGACGGATTACGGGTAGCACACGATTTCGTTGTGTTGTTCCCAGTTCGATACATTATTGTCATCGTTTACCGCACCATCAACGGAAAATTGTTTGAAGCCCAGCGTGTTGTTCGTATTTTGGAATTGTGTTGTGTTTGGTTGCCGATGAGTTCCCGGTGTTGGTGTATGAGTGTGTGTGTGTGAGAGAGTGTTTGTTTCGTGTATTTGTGCAGCCATTCAAATCAACATCATTATTTTGCCATTTTATTCCGGTTTTGATTGGATCAACGCGCGCGCGAAAGAGACAGAGTGAAAGAGATTGTGAGCGGAGTTTGAGATAGAGAGAGTGACGGAGAGAAAACAAAAAAGAATCGAACAGAAGACATAATCAATTTCCATTTTGCATATCAATTTATCGCCATTATTCGCACAAGCAATGAATGAACATAAATAATGAAAGAGAAGAAGAAAACGATAAGCAACAAAACAAGCAATGAACGTGGCGAGAGTGTTCAACAAACGTAGTAGATGCGAAAAGAAGCAGATAGCAGGAGAAAAAAAAGAGAAGAAAAAAAATTGCAAACACGAGCGCGAACGCGAGAACAGGCGCGTGAGAGAGTAGCGCATTTCAAATTTTCCAAATAGAAACAAAAATAAACAGGAAAGAAAAAACAAGAAACGAAGGGAAAATATTTCACAATTTCAACAACAAACAAATGGAAAATGGAAACAAATAACAAACATCCACCATGCATGAATAATGAGCAGTTGATTTGAATGAGGCGGTGGATTCGTGCGATCGTCGGTTGGTTCGTTCATATGATGGATGAGGTCCAATGGATGGTTTCGATATCCAATGACGAATATTCCAATGATGAATATGAGATATATGACGATTGATTTATTATTGTTATCGATGTTCCATAAATAAATTAATTTTATTGGCAGCCAGAGAGAGAGAGAGAGGAAGACACACACACAAGCACATACATATATTAAGAGAGGGAGAGATAGGGAAAGTAACGGTGCGAGCGCGAGTTTTGTGTTTGCCCACCGGAATTGATACACGTTTTGTCGAAGACGGTGTACAAGGCCATGTCAGTCCAAATGACGAAGCATCACGTATTTTGCAGCGACGATAGTGTTGGTTTTTGTTTTGTACGGGGAGTGAAAAGAAGAAGAAGAAAAAGAAAAAAACAAAAATTCATTTAGAATAATTAAAAATAATTGGGTCACTTGCTTATACTACTACATATGATCTAGCTACACAGATATTAACAAGAAACATCAATAAAAAAAAGCGTTTTTTCCACAGGTGCACAAAGTAACAAGGCAAATATTTGATGAAATATTAGTAGTGTTAATAGAGACTTATAAAAAGCTATCAATCGATGTGTCGGAGCCAATGAAATGGCTAAAAATCATCGACAAATCGTGAAAATGGCCTCCGCATGTAATTCTTTTTCGTCGGGCGGCAACGGCGACACTGACGACAATGACGACCGCGGTGGCACATCGGAAACTATTTGAAAATAAAACGCTCGCTGTATCTCGCTCACTCGAAATTTGCGATGCATTTTATTTCGTTGTAAATAAAAAGAGTACCATTTATTCACGGCTAGGTGGTTTAGGGCCATTCGATATAAAACTAAATGGGCCCATGTGTGCTTAGCACATACACAATCCAACAAAACGATTGAATGTAAAATTAAAAGTAAATTGCATTCATATGTTTTCCGCATGTATCGGAACTCGAGTTCCATGGCAATGAGTGGAGTGGAGTGGAGGGAGGGCCAGTCCGACGGGCGGACGGCGCGTACGAAGAGCGAGAGATAGAGAGAGAGAGAGAAAGAGCGTCGGGTAGTAAAATTTTATGATGTAGGCAACTTTTCCCATGATTTTTCATTGTGAAGCCCCATTATTTGCCATATCAAGTACACAGTTACAATTGGGCATCGTAAAAATAACATAATAATCATAAATCTGGTTCTATCGAAGGAGCGAAGGTGGCTTCTGAAAACAGCTCTCGGTTAAATTTATATACGCCAATTGTATTTTATTTTCGGCTCCGCTCATGATTTCACTCTCTTTTCTCTCCCTCTCTTTCTGATTCTATGAACTATATGCGATACATACATATACACACTGGCAATCGATCAAATGGCCAAATATGCGATGAATTGCTATTAGTTCTCGATTCTCAATATTTCCCATTTTTTGTTTTATTTCGACGCGCATTATGGGTAAATTTCAATTGAAACTTTTGTTCGTTACTTTGTAGAAAATTCATAGTATATGTCGGTCTGGCATCGGGTATTGTGTGCAGTTTCTGAAAGGCAGCCGACGCAAGGTGACAAATGCGAACAACGTAACATACGATCGTGGCCATATTGAGTGGCGGAGAGGCGGAGAGACAAAGAGAGGGAAGGAGAAAAAGACAATGTCAACGCTCATATAAATGCACTAAAGCCATAGGAATTTCGTCAGTTGGCCATAAAAAATTCATAATGCGAAACAATTTGGTGATGAAAACCATATATTTTTGCTTTTGATAAATTTTCATTGCACCATTTCGATTCAATAATTTCGACACATACACACGACGACGACGACGACAACGACGACGAAGATGATGATGATGATGATGATGATGATGATGATGATGATGATTGTGTAGGGATTGGATGGCGATTTCAAATCGCCAGCGGGAAGCGTATCAATATCTTTCCTTTCCATGCAAACATTCCAATAAATGAAATATAAATAATTTGGTGGGATGGGGGAACGGCGATATAGCGAGGGCGAGGAAGTGAGTGAGAGAGCTGATGGGCAGCAGCAGCAACAGCAACGGCAAACGAAACGAGTATGAGAAGAAGGACAGAGGATGTCTGAACCCGAGTAGTGTCATTAAATTATTATGGTTCATGGTGATGGAAATGGCAATTTATTGATGGATCATCGTATTTTATACCATTTCGGTTCCGTTGAAATGTGCCCATTACAACGTCTCGTTACCACACTGCATCGCACACAAGCGTGCACAGCCGCACACACACACACATATCGAGATGGATACATTCATAAATAGTAAACTACTGATGATTCAATGCAATTTATGATTTATGGCTGGCATGCAAAAATAAAATGCTTAAATGCAACGTTTAATTTTGCCCGCTAACGATATGTCATGGTTGGCGACCATAAGAGAATTGAATCGAATCGAATGGTCGTCGCATTTTTCTCTCTCTACCTCACTCTTTATACGTTGATGCATACAAAACGAATGTGTCTATGCGGCAGGCAGTGCAATGGAGGGAGAGAGGATGGTAGAGCATTGAGTGAAAATAGAAAATGAAAAAAAAAAATTGTGTGCCTTCATGTTAGTAGAAGAATAACAATGGAAGTGCACGTTATCAAATTAATCGTTTGAAAAACGAAACTCGTTCCTCATCCGAATCCATAAGCTGTCTGTGCATCGATCGATGTTCTAATTTAATGTGAGATGTATTTTTGATGTGCATACAATGCCACAAGATCGCATCTTGCTCGAAGCAGAACAATGGATTTTCTGCATTTTCCAAAGCCAATGTGTAATATTCAATCCGCGCCTCGCATCGCGCCTCTATGCTCTCAATAATAAAATCACCTATCGCGATCATAGCGATTGAATAACATTTATAGAATGCTCAAATAAACATCACATGTGTCGAATATCGCAATTTTCTAGAAAAGTAATATACGTTTACGGATCCCATTTATCTCGTGTTCGTTTTTGCTGTGTGTGCGCGTGTGTATGTATGTTTGTGACTGGCATTTGTCGATAGGGAGAGTAGGGACGGATGGCGATTTGTGCTCTTTCGTCTCAAATCGTATGTGATGCACGTACTACTCTCTTTCTCATCGAGGCTAACAATGGCATTGCCATCTAGCTGCTAACAACGAACGATTCATTGTGTTGTAACGATGACGATGCCGATGCCGATATGCATATTTGCGTGTAATTCACACTGCTTCATGATGACCATTATGCATATTTTTCTTTGGTTCCTTTTGTTGGCTGGCAATGCGTTTGCCCTCTGCCGCCGTGCATCTCGGCCGCTCTGTCACTCGGTATCCGCCACACATCTGTATTTTTGAGGTGTGAGTATGTGCGTGTATGTGCGAACTGTGAAGTGTATACATTGAGCGCGCGAATGCGTTTGAAATGGCTGACATTTTACATTAGAGAACAAATAAGTGTAAAGTCGTCGTCAACTAGTACTAGTCCCTGATAGCCAAAACACGATAAACATTTTGTCGGAATAATAATGACGACGTTTTCGACGAATGATTACATTGCAAAAGGCTATGGCCGGGCCGTTGCCTGTACGGGCGACGACATGAAGGGACAGCCATGAAATACGTGAAAATGGTTTATTTCAAATATACACAGACACACACATTTATATATATATATACCGATTTTCTATAAAACATCAAATGCCATGCATTGGAAATGTGTGCGAGCAAACATTGTATTCATGTTGAGCTTACTTCGTGCCATCATTTTCATTTTCATCGTGGCATGAATGAAATGCTGCTGCTGATGCTACTGCCACCGTTGCTGTTGCTGCTGCTTACTCAATTTGAATAACTTTGAATTCGAACAGATCTTTTGGCTTGCGAACGAGTGTGTTTGGCCTGTGCACGTCCCCATAAATATATGCATAAGTAGTATATTTATATTAACGATTGCCGACCACCAACAAAGATCTGTAACTGACATCTAACTATCAAAAGTTACTTTGGCATTTTATCATTTCGGGTCTTTGGCTTGGGCAAATGGATTGTTTCATAGTTCCATTGCTCTCTGTCTTTCTCTCGCTTTCACACGATGGGTGTTCTTTTTTTTTATTGTTGCTGCGTTCAT